GGCAAAGGGGCACAGCAGCTCCGGGTTCCTGGTTGGGGAGGGGGCTGCCAGGGAAGGGACAGAGAGGAGCAACAGAGATGTCATCTTTCTGGAAAAGCTGTCCCCAGAAGCTGGTCTCCTGAAACCTCTACCCGTTCAGCACAGACATCTGTGCCTCAGTTTCCTCTTGAGAAAATCACAAAGCACAAATATTTATACAGTGAATGGGCCTGGGGGGGGTGTGCCAATGCTTCCACCGTGGAGACCCTCGGGAAGTGTGCGGTTAGCCTGCGGCCCCTGAGACCCACACAAGGGACGAGGGCCACTGCAGTGCACACCCCAACAACGAGGCCATGGTAGGATGGGGGTAGCAGGGGCTGTGGCAGGGGGGTTCTCCGCTGAGAGGGGGAACAGAGCCCTCTTTCTCACAGACTGAGCCGTCCACACCAGAAATGCAAGTTATTTCTATCCTTAAGGAAGACCTTTGCGTGGCGAGGGGGGAAGACAATGTTGCCTCTTATTTATTGCTGACCTCAGCACTGGCCTCGACGCAGCGGGCCAGCTCAGTGCCCCCTCTCACACAGCCAAGGTGCCTCGGGGTGGCTGGGGAAAGGGAAATTCGTGTCATATTCATGCCACAGTGACTTTGAAACCACTTCACTGAGGAGACAGGACAATAGGCAACAGAAATCTGCAGCCTGGAGCTATAGGAGGGGAAAGGGGATGTTAAGGAGGCTGCTGGCTGCCACTGCAACCCGGTATTAGCCTTTGCAAAGGTTTCTGCCTCATTTTTACTGGGACATCCTCCTTCTCCTCCACAAACTCTTGTGCTCCAGCTCTTCCAGGCAACACAAGCCTTCCCGGGACTAATGGGAGACTTGTTATTCAATTCAGCATTAACCTACAGGAGTCAGGCCAGCAGCCTGCAGTAATAGCAGGATCCCAGCACTGCATTATGCAGCGCGTAGCTGGAGAGCTACTCAGGAGAGGCTCTTAATTGACTACCTAATGAAGCAGCCAGCTTTTCTGGTGTGAACCTGTGGGGTAAAACATAGAGGCGAAAAATAAGGCCAAACACAAATCACAGCATAATGCCACGAACAGGGATAAGGGTGCACTTCGTTCCAAACAGCTTGAAAGACAAATAAATAAACAGGGAAAATAACACAGGCTCCAAGCTAGGAATAAAATCAAAGACTAAACCCAGAGTCAGGGACTGTCCTCTAGAGACAGGAGAAAGACGTAAGTATGTCACTGCATTAGACAACAACTGTTTCCTCATGTGGGGCTCTTATCACATTTGGCATCTTTGTCTACCGTTTGGCCGATAGCAGCAAACACAATGATCAGTTTTTTTATAAGGAAGCTGCAGATAATCAAGGGCAGTCATGCTGGCTTCAGCAGCACTGACCAGCCCGAGAGAAACCTGATGCCCAGCGATGGAGAGCTCTGGCCAGCCCTGCCAGAACTGACTCACAAAGTGAGCAGCAGGGAGGCTGGACCAGCCAGGGCCGGCAGCAATTTTGTCAGCCCACAGATCGTTGACTGATACCCATTAGGGGATTCAAAGACTGGGATGCAGTTGTTTGTATGCAGATTGCTCCCCTCTCACACCATGATAAGGGAAATTTAGCACAAGGTGTGGAAATGAACGCTCAGCTGAAAAGAGTTATTTTTTTAGGTCACCTTTAAGAAAGAAAGAAGCTGCAGCTGAGCTGCCTTTACTGATGTGGACAATGACAAACCGATGACCTTTAAAGCTGGTGACACCCTTGCTGGCTAGCCTGACAGCTCAGACTTCGCTGGTGCCTGCCGGCAAACAAAAGGCAGGGTTTGCTTGTGCTGCAGTGCCGCAGCCAGCGCTGCTCAGTGCCCTCCCTGGGAGGACAGGAGGGACAGGCGATGGACACAGGAGGTGGGCTGGGGGTGCTCCTGGATCACAGGCTCAGCCCTGCTCCCATGCCAAAATCTGTCTCGCCAGGCTGGATTTCATGGGCTGTAGCTGGAAGGAAGCGTGGCTGTTTCTGGACAAGACAGCTGCCTGCGGGGAGTGGAGGTGGTGAAAGGAGCCCCAACACCACTTCAGACCTGACAGCAGTTCTGCACCGACCCACATCAAGGGACACAGACTCAGCTCCAGCCCCCACCCAACATCCACTCTCTCCCAGATCAGACCTTGCTTCCTCTCCCTCCCTCCCACCAGCAACAAAACCTCCTTTTCCCATGAATTTGGTCCCTAGCTGGCTCCCACTGAGGCAGATGGGGTTCCTCCTTGCTATCCCTTCCCACAGCCACTTTCAGCCTGGCCTGGCCACCTCAGCCAGCTGGACCACTCCACACTGCCCCATGCCCCAACTCACGGCACCAGATCAGACCTTGCTTCCTCTCCCTCCCTCCCACCAGCAACAAAACCTCCTTTTCCCATGAATTTGGTCCCTAGCTGGCTCCCACTGAGGCAGATGGGGTTCCTCCTTGCTATCCCTTCCCACAGCCACTTTCAGCCTGGCCTGGCCACCTCAGCCAGCTGGACCACTCCACACTGCCCCATGCCCCAACTCACGGCACGGACCCGGCGTGAGGAGAGGCAGTCTGCTGGGCTCAGAGAGGTGTGTGCAGGGAGCGAGGGGCAAGGGAGGCTGAGGTGGGTCAGCAGCCTTCCCACCTGAACACAGGCATTTTTTGCCATCCTTCCAGGACGTTTGCTGGCAATTGACTTCAGTAAACCCCAACACCAGATGAACCACTAAACTCTTTCAGGACTAATCTGCATCCAAATGATTAACAAGCAGCAGCAGCAAGCTGGCTGCACCACAACAGCTCAACGGCCAGTGGTATGGCCCAAATAAACTCAAACAACAGCACCTCCCTCATCCACCTGAACTTCCAAGACACTTCCTATCCTCACCATTTCACAATGAATTTGGGGAGCCCCATTGCCATCCCCTCCTAGCAGAGTCTCCACATTCATATCTACCTGAGAGTGTGTTGTGGGCAGCTTGTGCACCTCTGCCTGCTGGGCCTGGGCCCCCAGGCACTGGTTCCTGTGCTCCCTGCCTCCCCTCTGAAGAGACTGGGTAAGCGAACCTGTTGTGCTTCTTGCTGGTTCTTCACCAGGTGCAGGCATTTTTTTTGTGCTGGAAGTGATGGTTTGAAAGCTGTTGTGTGTGTTTGCTTCCAGTGCACCACTGAAGGAATGTGGGCACAGGGCAGGCGCCTGTATCCTCATGCAAAACACACTCATTTCCTCGGCGTGCGGGCACACCTCTCTCATCCGCACACACAGAGCGGGTTCTATTTTCTCAGGCCTCCTTCTTCCCAGACACACAATTCTGGCAAATATTTAGACAGAAACACTATTAAAAGGCCTTTGAGCAGCTTCTCCCTTCCTCAATAACAGTTTGGTATTAAACAGAATTATGAATAGTTCCTCTCATATCTGCCTGGAAAGGCACTGCCTCGGCCCTTGACAGCACTGCTGACAGCAGCCCCTTGAAAACCAGAGCTCCCCAGTTACAAACCCCGCTTCCAGGGAGAGAAAACAGAGTCATTGATCAGCCCTTGAATCGCAGCTCCACAGGAGGGGGAGCTCCATGCGCTCCTAACAGAGGGACAATCCCCTCCTAGCCCTAACAAGCTGCACACACGACAGATATACGTTTCTAGTCCTCAAATACAGGAGACCATTTAAGGAGGAATCTTACTTCTGATGCCACACTGTGATCCAAAAACACACTGTCATGAGCCTCTAGCGTCTTTACCTTCTTGGAAATGTGATACAACGGACTTGCTTATTTTTTTTAATTTTCCCTTTTTTTAAGAAAAAAAGCTCTTTATCTCTGGAGAACATGCTAAAAATCACATTGAAAAGGTGGCCAAAGGCACCTTATGAAGATCGTTGTGGCAAACAGCCTGGGAGACCGAGGCACTGACTCAGACACTCACCTGTCTTGTAGATCTCGTAGCGCAGGGAGAAGCCAGCACCTTGCCGTGCATAGTCTGAGGTGAACTTGATATAGAGAGAGGGACCAGAAGAGATGATGGTAGGAGGTGCTATGTTCCCACAGTGCTTGCCCAGCAGATCTGCTGCTTCACTGTCCCCATCTCGGATCTCAATGTAGTCATACCTGTGAAGGCAAGGTGAAATGGCAGTAAAGCCATCTGTCAGTGAGAAGCTTCAGGATGCCAAGAACAAACAGAAAACACTTCTTTATTATCTGCATATTCCACAGAACATCTTACAGACAGGTACCTGGGACTCTGTTACTCACATCACACCTCACAATATATTTCTTCCCTTTTGTCTGTCTGGCTACATTTAAATCCCTTCCTCTGTTACTTCTCACATTAATTTATTGCACCCACATCCACTTCAACTGCAGAGTCAACATGCAAAATTTGAGATACAGGTCATCTCCATTTCCACAAGACTTCTTCTGCACAGGGGATACTCAGAGACAACTCTCCTGCGGCTCCTCTCCTTTGCTTACCTCCCTCCTTAAGTGCCATTGTGCTACTTAGCACAGCTCAGTTTATTCCACTATTCACGTGGGATTTGGCCAAGCACGCATCAAGCTTTAAACAATCTATATGAATAGGTAGCTATCTTGTGCACTGTCTTGACACTACATTGGTCCTTTAACAAGCGTGGCCAGTACACTTACTTAGCACTTGGAACAGTAATATTATTGTCTTCTATTATCTGCTAATGAAGATTTTCTGTGGATGAGAAGTGCTGCTTAAGAGCTAGGTAACCACATTCACTACTGCCTGACGTTTGCACATCCTGTAACCACTGCAACCTGCCTTGGCAAAATTCCACCTGGAAATGTCCCACCTGTCCACTGGCTTGGCTTCTGGGCATCTAAATGGTTTGGGGGAGGAATGTGTAGGGTTCTAAAAATTGCCTCCTGGTGCAGAGACAAAAGCTTGTTGCAAGTCTGTCTGGAAGGTGAAACTCCCACAGATTCCTTCACATTTTCTAGGCCGTGACTAATGGCAAGGTAGTACCGGGCTCTGTGCGCTGTGAAGAAACAAGCAGCTTTTACATGAACATCTTGTTCTTCAGCTGCTTTCTAACACCCACGCTCTCCCATCCCTCTTCTCTCTGGCCAGCACGCTGCTATTTACAGAAACTGCCCATCTCTCTTGGACTGTTTATTTGCTTTGTATCAACCTGTTTGAACAACATGCTACAGCTCTTCTCACAGGGCCAGGGAGGAAAAAAGCATTTCCACACTGCCAGGAATCTGCCTTTCTTCTTTGTCACAAGGTCTCCTGTTTGGGAATGGAGAGTTGAAAGAAGAAGTAGCTTGCTGGATACAGAATGATCCTCATGTGACTCATTCCTGTTCTGCAAAGCACACATCGGCAGGCAACAACCTCAAAACAAAACTTACAGGGACTCTGTGTGCTCTTCCACAAAAGATGGTCCGGATGGCTCCGGTTTCACTCCTTCCTGGGACTAAATCAGGCTGCGAGCCAGAAGTCAAATACCTGCAGATAAAATCCTGTCTGCACCAGACCAACCACTCAGCTAGCTGCAATCAACCCGCCTTTAACTTCATTACAGACTCAACTGGCTTGGCCAAGGTGAAATCCAAGCGGTCTTGAGAAGAGGCACTCACAAAATAAGAGCATTTGGCATAGCTGGTGGGCAGACACACAGTGATGTAAATGAAGATCTGTTCCTTCTGCTCTCTCCTCAGCTCTGTGTAGCTTCCTGTCACCTCGTGACCCCTTATTACCCTGACACTGTCCAGCAGCACCCTGCGTGACCCCACTAATGTCCATCATGTGTGACTTGATCCCATTGTCTCCCCAGGGAGAAGGAACATAGAGGGCAGCATTAGTACTTCTTTTAAGCAGATTTTTTTCTTCTTTGTTTGTCTATTTGTTGAAAGGAGTGCTGAGCAAACAGTGGGGACATTTTGTTCTCTAAATAACTACTTGCCTTCAGTGTGCTTCCAGCCCTTTCACACCCGAAGTACACATCTGTGCTGCAGGACTACTGGCTGGCTACTAATGAAACCGTGAATATGTGGCAAAAAATTAATTTGGTGAAAACACAAACGTTAGCAAAACACAGTTAATGGAGTGGATTGCAAAAGCTGCCATGTGCATGGCACAGGCAGAGGTTAGCTGCATCCCAGTGCATCTACATCTGTTTGTGTCCTCGTGGGGTTATATATAATTATCTCGCCAACACAGTACATGGCTTCAACTATTTGACTGTAATGATCACAGCTTCTGTTGTAGCCAACACACCAACCATTCTAACGCTGTCCACATGGCTTCTCAAACCACCCAGTGCTGCAGCACCCCTGGCAATTTCAGAAGCAAATTCTGGACCAAGAAATACTCGCTTATTGAATGGGTGAATAACTTCCAATAATACATACAATTTGGGAATAGTGCAATCTGCTCATGGGCAATCTGCAAACGGAAAATTAAAAGAATGTATCTAGTAAGAAAATCATCAGGAAATATTTGTCTCTCTGAACTAAACCCTGTTTGGCTTCATTCAAGCATCTAACTGAGCTTTCTCCTACTGGACCTAATCCTTAATAAATCAAATGTTACAAACAACTGAAAAACGCCCTAGGAGAAGGTCAGGGAATTATTTTTGCCAAATGTAAAATGAATATAAATGCGCAGAATTTTCTTTGCTAGTTAAAATATCCTGGCCCAAGCCTTCTGCTCCTCACAAGGCCAAACTCTCTTTCTTCAGGTCATATAAACAGAGTGTGAATTGAAACAGTATTACCCTCAGGAGCTAACTCCTACTTCATCTCTAACAAAGCAATGAAGCTTTAGGTTTTCAAAATGAAACACCAAAGACATCCAGTCCAAGCTGTGAAACTTTCAAACTTCAGCAAGAACACCGGCTAAACCCCACCACAGACTCTCTTGGCATCATGTGCTTCAGTCATGTCCATGTCTTGGCCTGCAAACAAACAAGCTGAGAGACCCCATCCTCTTTGCACTGGGTCACTGGCCATGTTAAAATCTAGTCTGGCCAGATCTTTGCTTCTGTTAAGCTTGAGTGTGGTTTCCAGACCTTCTTCTTCACATATGAAAATAAGAATAAAAATTGGCAGGAAGAAAACCCAACCCTGGGGATGCTTTCAACTCTAAACATTCATTCCTAGAAAATTATAGGCTAGGGCAGAGCTGGGTGGGATACAATTTTGCAGCGATGGCATCCAAACGGTCTTGACCAGCTCTCAGCAATTTGCATTTCACTCACATAACCAAATCCATTGTTTCAGTCAACGTGCACCAACATCCTTGTGGGCTGATCTCTCCAGCATTACCTCCACTGGGCAAGCCTTCCTCTCCAAGCACATTTCATGGCCTTTTCTCCCCATTCAGGCATCGCTCCAATGAGCCAACCATAAATATGTGAGGGCAGGGTGCAGTATCTGTAACCCGTAAGTATAGTCAACACATTAACCAACCTGTTGGTTTGAAACCACCTTAAACAGAGGCTTCCACCAGGGAGTTTTAAGGCAGGGAGGCAGAGCTGAAGTGCTTTTAAATGCCCAAGACAATGGAGGAGTTGAGAAAGGAGGAAAATGCATTGCTTAGATGCTTTTCTTTGAGCTGTTTAACAGAATTAAATGGAAAACGTACAATGCTTACAAATATTGCTGTGTTTTTATTAAAGATTTTTAGTAGAAAGTGCTTTGCTAATGTTAAGAGAGCTTTTATAAACTAATTATAAAGCACTCCTAATGCCTGTATTACTCATGCTTGCTTGTTTGCTTTTGCCTCTCTTCAACCCTCTCAGCTTCCTAGTCTTTCCTTTTTATTTTCCCTAAATCACTTAGCTACTGGCTCTCCAGACAAGTCTACAAGGTACAATAAAGGCAAACAAGCCCCAACTGCAGTGATTATGAAAAGACCCCCACCTTTTTAGTTCTTTACTGTTGTGAAATAGTTGATCTGCTCCCCGGCCATCGAGCTGTGCTCCACCATGCCCTGGGGCCAGCACAGACCACCCAGGTGCCCACCCAGGCACCGGTGCTTCAGAAATGATAGACCCATCTAGAGTCTACCATGACAGATACCATGATACACTGCTATGATAGCAGCACCAGAAAGCCTGCACCATTCCCTGGATGCTCCTCTCCTGAGGCACAAAACTCAGCCCAAAGCAGTTTTGGGACTTACGCTGCTCCAGATATAATCAACAAATCTATTGCCCCTCAGCCCCGTGTCCTAAGAGATGCTGAGTCCTTCCCCACTGAAACATGCTTCAAGGACATTATAGGGACATTAGCTTAGAATGAGAGAGAAACACAAAAAATAAATAATTTCTATGTTCAGAACTATTAGCATGAATCCTCTCAGCACATGAACTCGTGCAAGCCTTGCTCCAAAGCCTGAGGAGGGCTGGTTCGCCAGTCCAAGCTCTGACCTAGCTGGCAGCTTTCTCAGTCTCTACCTAGAGCTCTGATTCAAAGTAGATGCTCACATGTAGAGGGCTCACATGCAGCTAAGCCCAGATTCCAGTGCTTGCCAGGGCTAGAGAGAGTCGTGAGGCTCTAACTTGAACTTCCCCAATGTTTAATTTGGAGCTGTTATTTATAGACACTTCCATGAGGCTCACGCACCTGGCAAACAGTAATGATGGGATCCTCACGAGACCCTGGGAGGTAGGAAGGCAGAGAGGAGCAGTGACTGGCCCAAGGTCACACAGGAAGTTTGCAGTACAGCCAAGAATAGAAGTCAGCCTCGATTAGACAGATTATATTATATTGGAGGAGTCTGGCCTAGATAGACAGAGAGACAAATAGGTACTGACTGCATGCCAGCAGCCCCAAATTTGGGAATGCTTAGTGTTGACTTGAGCCTTCAAGATCCCCTGGTCTGCTCGAACCATACGACACGGTGTCTCGAATTCACCTGAGAAAAAGGATGAGAAACTGCGATTCTAGTGAAATCCAGCAGGCATTAATACTCTGGAGGTAGCTTGGGGTAGGTGTGGGGATCCTGCTTGGCCACAACAGCATCTAGTAAATGCAATTACTCCCTTTGAAAAAGATGGCAGCTGGGTTTGTTTCTCAGAAATTGTTACAGAAAGCATAAGGTTTTTTAAACACCTAAAAGGCTGTGTGTTAGA